TTGAGTGAACAAAAATAGGACACTAAAAGCCCAAGTGCTTACATTAGCATTAATTATTAATTATGCTATTATAATTCTAATTTGGAAAACAGTATAACAAGATCTACTTTTATTCTCTGGATAAATTATGTTAGTGGAGATTGGTCTGTATAGTGAGGAAGAGGATACCAAAACACCCGTTAATACTGGTGGTGGTAGAAAGTGACCACATCAAGTCACACTGACTTATGGAGACCCCCTGGGGTTTTCAAGGCAAGAGATATTCAGAGGTGGTTTGCCATTGCCTGCAATGTAGTAGCAACCCTAGGCTTCTTCCTTGGCAGTCTCCCATTCAAGTACTGACCAGAGCCAACCTTGCGGAGCTTCTTAGTTCTTACCAGATCAGGCTTGCTTGTGCCATCCATGTCAGGGCAATGGTAACACTATTCATCCCCAAAGATTAATTTTTCATTTTCATTTTTAGACCACCTTCCCTACAAGGTCTCTGGGCACCATAAATGTTTTTCTTCTGATAACAACACTGTAAGGTAAGCTAGGCCCAAGGTAACCAGCAAGGTTCGTGGCAGAGAAGAGGTTTGAATCCAGTTCTTCCAGGTCTTACTCTGCCATTCCAACTGCTATACCCCACTGGCTCTCATTCCAACACTCTGTACAACAGAATTCATAAGATCAAAATAAATACTGGAGAACTATGACTCATGGTGCATTGATACCAACAGCTATAGTAGAATTTATTGTAAGTTCCACTGTACTAAGTGAATGGTTGCTTTCCTGCTGGAGGTTAAAGAATATGGGAAAGACTTCATTATGGGATATGTGGAAATAATGTGCCAGGAAAGGCAGCAGGGGATGCATGTACTTTTTCATACCACTGACAACTCTCCTTGGTTCCTGTAACTTGAGGATAACTACGCACATAATCTAAACTGCATAAATTCACTAATAATAATAGGCACAAGTAGCCTATGAGTTTGCAGTATGGGATGTTTTATGACAGACCTAAAATGAAACTACTGTAAGATTGCAAAATACTGGAACAGAACCAAGGATTCAGACTTCTATGCTGTATTATCCTGCAACTGACATGCCAAGTACTACTTAATTTGGCTTGGTCTAGAAAGCAGTTTCCAGAATTATGAAAGAAGGATTTTGCTGTGTATTTCAACACAAAATGTGCAGTCTATTATGAACAGCTATATTAACTGATATTTCAATGAACAAGTTTGCCCTACAACAATTAGCTAAAGTACTGATTAAGGTTGGCTGCAGTGTAACGAAAAGACCTAATTTTCCAGTTTTAAAAGTAAGGAAGTATATGGAACACAAATTTTAGAAACATAATTGTTGTGTAAGCATAATGCAAGTCTTAGTATTCTGTGCTGAAACTCACTAATTAGATAAAAACAATGATTACAAGAACAGTTGTGCAAGAACAGAAAAGGAATGGGTAAACTTTCCCCAATAATAACAGAGGTACAGAAACAGCCAAGATGCATTTGCTGTTAGTTTTATGTAAATTATTGCAGCATATCATGACTTGGATCCAACAAGAGGGGAGCCCATGATGACTCATGGGGTGGGAGGAGAGTCTTCCTTCATTGGACAAAGACTCTTTCTGTTGGACAGACAGAAAGAACCTTCCTCCAGTGGAAGATTTCTCATTCAGCAGAAGGGAAACAGGTTAATCTCAGCCTAATATGACCAATGTTTTAATTGCTGTTTTTATGTCTTTGTTTGTATTTTAACCCTGTTTTAAATTTGTTTTGATGATGTGTATGTTTGGGGGAGGATGATTTCAATGGTTTTAAAATGTGATTTTATCATGTATGTTTTGAATTGTTAGCCACCTTGATGGCCCTTGTGATGGCAGAAAGGAGGATATACATTTTGTAAATAAATAAAATAATATGCAGTTCCATGTGGGAAAAAAGTGTGGTTATCCCATTTTTTAAGGAAAATTAACAACAATATAACATCCCACAAGTATGATACTTGCTATAGCAATATTTGTTTTGGGGTGTAATAGGAGTTCTAACCATTGTTATGACTGCAGGTGTAGAACGAGGAGTGACATTTATTCTAAAATAATTTACATGATAATAAGGATGTGGTCTTGTCTGTGCAGTGCTGGATTATTACTAGTTTGTGTATTGATTTTTTTCCCATTTCTGTTCCTTGTTCTACACTGCTACACTATATTCAGCAAGTGTGTTGGATGGAACCATTTCTTCAGTACTGACAATTTAATACATGTCAAAAGTATTGCAAATCTGTCTGTCAGGTTCAAAAGATCAAATATATGGGATGAGAATATGCCTTAATATGACAGGGCAAGGTAAAGGTTAAATTCCACTGTGATTTGCCAGTGTATCCACATCCTAATATCCTGATAACTAAGCTTTGCCTAATGTACAAATACATGCCACTAATACTATTCCTTTGTATGCTGTTGTGTGAGAGCACCTTTGGTCTTGAAACACCCTCCAAGTACTTGCTAGTCCCCCCCCCCTATAAAAGAAGGCTCCCAATGTTCCATTTATCTCTCCTACCATTCCCTCACTATCACAGCACCTAGAACAGAGAAGGGCTATTCAAATAGGGACTATGCAGCTTCACAATTTCCGTTTCCCTTTGAATTCCAGTCATCAGGGACACACACAGAGGGAGGCTGCTTCCTATCATGACTTTCCAGAGACATCTGAAAAGCCACTGTTGGAAACAAGATGCTAGAGAAGATGGACCTCTGGTCTGAGTGAAGAAGGTTCCTATGTTTTGGGTGGGGGAAGGATATAGATACAGGGCAGCCTCTTTCCTCACCACAACAGCAAACATGTGTGAGTTTGAAGGTCAGATAGTTCTTCTTACACTTCAGGAGCTGTAGGCTGTATTCGCTTTATAGGAACAGGAAGCAAGGCCAGGTTTGTAAAAGCAGACTTGGCTCTGTCTCTTGCTCTGCATGTGGCAATAGCATTAGTAAGGGAAGGAGAAAAATGGGCTGGAGAAATGACTACAACTCTTCATTTCTCCCATCAAATTGGAGAGTCCTTTACTTAAGGCCAACAATTGTGTCTAAACATAGAGAATTAAATGTGGTATATAGATTTCATTAGGACAACAACTGCATTTGAGAATGTGTTACTGGCTAACTAAAATGGTCCTTGGCATAACTGCTTAACAGTTCAGAATGAGGGGAAATCATGCAAAGATTTTTAGATGGAGACAGTATTCAAGAATGAAATAATAATTTCTTTGTCCTTATCCTGATAGCTGGATTCATGTGGCAACAAATTCTAAAGACCCTTCCTGGAAGTTAGCATTCTCTTGGCTTTGAAACATAGTAATAATTTATACTTTTTCTCATAGTTCAAGAGATGCTGGCTTGACCTTCTCAGCAGGATTTTTTTTCTTTCTCAAGCTTGAAGCCAACATTATTGTATCATCCTGGTCAGATACTTCTGACACATTTCAAGATTTCTGCTGCTACATTTGTTTTGCCAAATAATCCCACAGCAATGAACTATTTTCCCACTGTAAATTTTCTCTTTAGAAATATGGCATTAGTAGATTGATTTTTTTTTCAGGTTACCAAATGTTTTGTTCCATTTTGCTTTGTTTTAAAAGCACTGTCAATAGCATATGCTGAAGGACAGTAACTATGGAAAAATCTAGCTGGCAGTTAAAATCTGAAATACAAGGTCACAAAAACAGTCCCAAGCAGTTCACAAACACTCACATATTAGATACTAGGAACCTCCAAATATAAAACTTGAAAGGTTCCTCCTGTTCTTTAAAGAACTTCTAATATGAGTAAAACTAATAGAAAGCAATATTCTTTGTGCTTAACATACCAATCTAAAACACTGAACACTAGCAAAATAAACACTGTGCATGAAATCTCAAAAACGACAATGAGCAAACACATTTAAACAAAGTCTGGTTCTCCAACATGAAACTGCTTTCCTAATAAGCCAAGAGCATTCATTTAGTCACCATCGTTTGTTGACTCTGCTTGTTTCTTACGTAGTTCTTGAAATACCAGGTATGATTTGCTAGTCTGTCTCACAGCAAAAAATAAAATAACATGCAGTGCAGAATAGCATCCAATAGATTATCTATGCTGCCCAAGGGATGTACTTATGAGCAGCTTGGTGTGGGGTTTGGAGGGGGGGTAGTCTTAAAATACTTGTCAATGAAAGAAATACAAGGTATTGACACAGCCACAGATTTTCTGGTTGTTGGTTTGTTTTCCTTTTGCACTGGTGCACTTTCTACTTCCATCCTCTAAGGAAGCAATGAGGCTGTATTGCAGCAGTTCTGGGTACCACCAAGCACTGGCAGACTGCAGGACTGCAGTCAGGAAGCTCTTGGCACAGCCCAGCCCCTACCGGCCGGCCATAGGGTGGGGTCTTTCCACACCACTGTTATGCACACAAAAGGAAAAACCGGGAGGGTCCTGGGTAGGTGGCCGTAACCCCGCCCCCTCCCTCCGCTACCTTGGGCACATTAGACAGCACTCAGCAAGAGATGCAAAGCGGCTCCTGCCGTAGGGCGCGCTTAAGCGCTCTCACGGACGGAGGCGCGGGCACGCACGTCGGACAGGCCAAGGGCTCAGGGCAACACTTGGCCGGCTCCTCGCTCGTCCTTTGCCTGCGCCAGGGACTTTTTGTCCGCCAGGCTTCTGACGAGACAAAGGGAAGAAGAGAGTTTATTACTGCGGAGGTGCCGGTTGCGCAGTTCTCCGACGGCCTCCGGAGAGGCCAGGCGAACGCGCGGGCCACGCCCCAGCCCGCCAAACTTCGCCCCTGCGCTACAGGCGGGCCGGCGGCAAAAGGGGGTGGGGGGGAGGCAGGTGGCCGCGCGCCCCGGCGCAGGTGTTTGGGCGCGCCCCGAAAGTTTGCGCGGGCTGAGGCGCCGGGCGAGGCAGCCTGGGCCAAGACGACGAGCCCCCTCCCCCCCCCTCTCAGTCTGCGGCGGCCCCTGTGGAGAAACGTCTCTTTTACCTTGGCGGGTTCCTCCAGCTGCTCAGGCTCGGCCAGCGCCGCTGTCGGCGTCTCCGCCTCGGGGCTGCTAGGCTGGGACTCTCCTGCTGCAGTGGCGGGGTCCTGCGGGCTCCGCGCCTCCACAGAGCTCCCTGCGCCCATAGCTCCTCTCTCCTTCACCTCGCCTGCCCAGTGTCTAGGCTTCCCGCTCGGGAACTAAAGAGAGAGAGAGAGAGAGATTTTCGCAGTGATCAAGATGTCCGGGCAGCCGCTTCGTCCTCCTCCTCCTCCGGCTCGGCCGCTCTGGAAGCGCTCCGGCTGCGACTGAAGGAACCCAGCCGCTTTCGGCAAACTCCTTTCGAAAGGGAGGGAAAGCCAAGCCGACCTCCTCCCGTGTCCCCCCGCCCGCCTCTCCCTCCTCTTGCTCCATCACATGAGCAGAGACTCGGACACGCCTTGCAGCATCAAACCTGGAGTCTGGGAAGAGGAAGACCGGGGGGCGGGAGAGGCATCCCGCAACCTCGGAGCCAGCAAGGTGCCTCGGAGCTGCCTCTTTGCTGCCCCCGATCCGGCTTCTTGGACAGAGAGATCGCCCCCTCAACAGGCCGGATTAGTGGGCTTTAATGCCATTACTGAGAGAGCAAGAGGAAGAGTGCCTGTGTGACCTTCAGCTTTCTGCTAAACAATTCTCCCTTTCCTGGCTATGAACAGAGGGGGACTCTGACCAGGCATTTTGATATTTTCTCTGGGAAAGCCAAGCTTGTCCACATACCCCAAATGCTGGGCACAAATAACTGGGGGCTGGAATTGCCCCGCCCCCCAAGCATGCCAGAATATTTCTGCAGCGGTATAGGGTGCCTTCACATTTTAACACTACATCTCTTCCAACATTTCAACACAAAATAGGGACACATGTATACTCATAACACCCCTACTTTCACAAGGCTTTTTCTGAGGTTCCCACCCCATCTACACATGATTACATACTGCTGAACGTTCTCCTCAGCTTGTCCACTCATGTTGAATATGCTGTCCTGCATTGGCTTCTGAAGCAAAGAATCTGTATGGAGTTATGGCAAAAGCTGTGCACTGGTATTTTGTGTCTGTGTAGGCACTGGCATGCAATTTACACAAGGGCCAAGATGCAACATCAAGAAACTGTGAAAATACTGGAATTCTAAGAACTTTTCTGCATATATGCACAAGACCTTTTTTAAAAAAAAGCAGTCCCAGTGTCTCCCCAAGAAAAAAATGAGGACAAAATTAAGATGTTGTTTTGCAAGGAATAAGGTGCCAGAAAATAGTCCCTGGTAAATGGGGCCAGCTGGAGTGCATGACATTACAATGGTGGGATAACCATTTTAGCAATTAACATTAGCTATATGTCTGACTATGGATATTTATAAATTGTATTATTCTAAACTAGTAATAAGGCCCGTTGTGGAAATAAATACAACGAGATCTAGAAAGAGGCTCTGGGAGAGTGCTCTGGCTTTGGGCAAACAGTGTCAGTCTGCTTTTAAAACATGAACCTGGGACCTGCACACCACCAGAACACAGCAGGTTCCATATGTAACTGACATTCCAACTGCCTTGGGGGGGGGGGAGTTTGAGGTGTGGAATGGAGTGAAGTCCAGTCAGCTTCCATATGCAAAAGACCAGGTTGTCGCAGCAGTTGTGGTGTGGGCGGGACCCGGGCTTTGCCTTCTGATTGGTGGCGATATATGCTGAGGAGCAGTGCCATCAGCCATACACTAAGGGATGCATTTTAGAATTAGAACTTTGGCACCCACTATTCAATTATATATAAGGAGAGATTTATGTCCACAACTCTATTACCTGTGCACAGCTACCCCAATCTCCAGATTGGCCCACATTTGTAATTGGATCTGAAGAAATGGGTTACCTGCCATTCAAAACAACTTTTTAAAAATTGAAATTAACTATGAACTGAAAATAAAATGCCAGGTTACTCCTCCCTCACATCTTAAGTTGTATATATGCTTTGACATCATTTTACATCATTCCCCTCACACGTCTCTCCTGCTACTACAGTGGCTTTCTGCTAGCACTTCCATGTGTGTACGATAAATGTTCTTCAAGGAACCCTGATGCATGCAGAAATGCTAGGGACTGTCCAGCAGAAGAAAGTCTCTGCAGCAGCTTAACAGAAGCATGAGGGGAATAATTGTCATAAGATCCATGTGACCATATGCAGGTATGCCATCAAGTGTGCAGGCTAGCTGATGGCCCCAAGATTTTAAGCCTAATAATGAGTGCAAAACACAAGTTCTGGGGATCCTATGTGCAGATGAAGTGAAAAATACATTGGTAAAACTACAGAAGTTGTTATATAATTCCTTATTTATGTAAGTAGACCGAGACTATACTGAGACTGTCATTCTAGGCTCAGACGGAAGTGCCATTGATACCAGTGAAAAAGACAAACTATGCTGGGGATTATTAGGAAAAGGATTGAAAATAAAAAGGCAACATTATATTGCCTTTGTATTAAAATGCCCTTGTATAGATGTATGATGCAGCCTCATTTCGAATACTGTGTGCAGTTCTGGTCACTGTATCTCAAAAAGGACATTGCAGAGCTGGAAGAAGTACTGAAGAAAGCTACCTAGAAGATCAAAGAAGTAGAACATCTTTCATATAAGATGAAAACGGGGACATGGTAGAGGTTTATAAAAGTATGCATGGGGTGGAGACAGTGGAAAGAAATAACTTTCTCTCTCTCCAAAAATATTACAACTTAATGACATCTAATGAATCTGATAGACAGCAGATTCAAAAGGAAATACTTGTTTACTCAGCAAGTTATTAAAACATGGAATTCACTGCCAACAGCCACAGGCACTCATGGTTTTAAAAGGGGATTAAACAGATTCATGGAGGACTGGTTGATGAGCAGCTACTAGCCATGGTAACTGAAGAGAACCTGCACCTTCAGACACAGTAAACCGCTGAATACCAGTACCAGGAGGAAACATCAGGGGAAGTTCCTGGCTTCTAAGCCCTGTTTTTGGCCCTCCAGAGAAACTGGTTGGCCACTGTGTGAAACAGGATGCTGGACTAGATGGACCACTGGTCTGATCCAGCAAGGCTCTTCTTCTTATGTTACCAGTAGTACTTGCTCCCTTGAAAGTTTTGAAAGTAAAAAAATGTAAAACAGCTAATGTTACAAGTTGCCTATTAAAAATTCAGACAGAATCTTTGTTTTCCTTCACTGAACTTCAGAAAACTTTTGCCAAATGTCATCAGTTTTCCTAGCATTTAGTTAATGAAATTCTGGTTGATAAAACACTAGTCAAAGAGAAGGAAGATGAACAAAGTCAACAAAGCAAGGTCTCAACCCCTCAGGCAGAATCAAGATAAATACAGACTTCTTTTCATGCAGAACAGCTTCTTTAGTACTATTTCCAAGACTGGGTTAAGTTACAGTGATGAATACAATAAAACAAGGAACATGGGATTGTGTATCCTGCTACTGAATTAATTCAACTGCCTTTCCCATGGTGCAGTAGCTGGTTCAACACAGCAAGCAACCACGTATTTATAAGGTATTACAGTAAAATGTGGAGCAGACAGACAAATACTACTACTAATGATAATAGGGAACTCTCAATATATTTTTTTGAAAAAATTATAGCGTGTAAGTGTACTGGGTGTCTGAATTGAGTCACTGATCAGTGCTTTACTTCCAGTTTTGACTGCAGAAAGTTATCCTTCTTTAAAGGAAAAAAATCTCTTCCCTGTGTCATTCCACATAAATTTAGTCAGCTGATCTGCTTCAAGCCAAGGGCCACAAAAGATCAATTGGTTGGAAAGCAGCAAGCTGGAATCAACCCACCTCCTGCGACTTTACTCATGAGTAGCATTCTGCTGTAGAAAGTGGCATAACAATAGTTCAGCAACTCTGGAGCCTTTACAGTTAACCAGGTTCAAAGTTGTAAGCGTATCACTTTTTCCCCCAGACCAGTGTATTAAAAGATCAGTCATAGGGTCAAGAGTCCTGCATCCCACAATACCATTTTTCAAGACCAGACAGGTAATCACAACTTCAACCACCTGTCTTAGTATCACTTATGGAAAACAGATTGTATCTGCTAAGATGCATGCTAGCTTTACAGATGTGTTTGATTTATTTATGTACTTTATTTATGCTGAGACTCAAGACAAATTGCACATCTTTGCCTGAAAATATCAGCCAACTTTTCCCTGTATCTTAAGACATGGATGTCACAAAATTAATATCAAAAGCAGCCCTGAAATCAAGGCAGTAGAAAATAAAGACCTTAATAGTTATACTTTAATTCTAAACAGATTTCCAAATCACAGTAATATTTTCAGTTCAAGGTGGATAGCTGTGTTGCTCTGTCTGTAGCAGTAGAAAGGAGCAAGAGTTATTCCTTCCTACATTTTCAGTTCAATACAACAAATACCCAGCTGTGCTTGAATACTCACCAAGCCATCTAGGAAGACGTCTCTGCTTTGTTTAGATTCTGTACTTTTGCTGTGCCTTAACTGCTGTTTTCCAACTGTCACATGCAGTTCTAGAATGTTAGCAAAATTTATATGATCACACTGTAGTCATGAAGCCTACATACAGAACAATAACTCAGAGGTACATAAGTTGGAAGGAGATGAGTTACACAACACCCTCAAATATACACAAATGCACATGGGTTTGGTGGTCATGGTCCCTAATAACTCACTAAATTGAATTGGGTAAAAAAGCTGATGGTTATCAAGTATCTGTCTGGAGTCAGAGCTACAGTTCCCAGCCTCCAGGTAGGCCCTAGGGATCCCCCCCCCCCCGAATTACAGTTTATCTCCAGAATACAGAGATAGTCCCCCTGCATAAAATCCCTGTTTTGGAAGGAGGACTCTGTGGCATTGCACCCCACTGAGGTCCCTGTTCCCCCTAGGCTCCACCCCCAAAACTCCAGGAGTTTTCCAGCCTGGATCTGGCAAACCTACCGTCCCCATCCCCTGCCAGTGGCCAGGGGGGACCTGGCAACCCTAGGTCCTGGCAGAAGACTTGCATGGGTGACATATTCCCTCCTATCTGTGGGGGAGAGTGTTCCAAATATTCAGTGTGGTTCAGTCTATTGCATCCTCTGTCTGGGTTTCTATGGGGAAGGAAAGGGAAGACAAGAGTCTCCTGCCAAACTATTATTCCAGTCTTTGGACTTTTTAAAAATACCCTGCTTTTCTCCCCAAGGGACTCTAAGCAGCTTACAACATTGTTCTCCCCTCCTCCTTTTTACCCTCACAACTATAATCCTGCAAGGTAG